AGTGGTTGTCACCCACCAATAATGTTCCCATCCTGCCCCCTATCTAACTTCTTGGAACCCACATCCCGTCGTCGCTGTGGTCCGCGCTATGGAGCTGGTGACCCTTCCTTTTTAAGGCCCCTTGTGGTATCTTATCAGCTGTTATCACTTCCTGTCACCCACCAATAATGTTCCCATCCTGCCCCCTATCTAACTTCTTGGAGCCAACGTACCACCATGCTACTCCTTATGGTATCTTATCAGCTGTTATCACTTCCTGCCACCCTCCAATAATGTTCCTATCCTGCCCTCTATCTAACTTCTCGGAACCCATATCATAGGTGATCAGTAACTTGGTATGTAAAAACGGCTGTACAGTAAACAGGGTACCTGGTAGTCTCGCTTGCATTTCGCCGCGTTCTCCAGAATACTGCAAATTTTAACGACTTTTTCAACTTTGTCTTGTGGCAGGAATTCCTGAAAGGCTCCTGTGAACTTCTCAAGAAATGCCGAATCGTGAAGTCTGACGCTGCCTTACTTGGAAAGCCTCCAACGCACGTTTCATTTTATCCAGGGGATCTTCATCTTTTGGGCACTCGACGCGCTGAAAGATATGGGGAACATGTGCGCCAACAACAGAAGGCACAGATATTTTTTACATTTTCTAGCCTCTTTTGGAAAAGATTTCCCATCCAGCCTAGTTTTCCTAGTACAGCTTCTGGACAATCTTGAAGTACTGGCGGATCTCGCAGAAATGTCTATTCGCTGCGGACGCTGGAGCCCTTCAGAGTTGGATTTGTCGCGGCGGCAGCCGTTTCCAATCAGTTATGGTTGCCTGCCCGCTTCTACAGTTGGTGGAGAAAGGGCTGACGCGCGCCAAAGCCAGTCCCCTGATAAATCCCATCGTCCGCAGCTAACAAAACTGTATATCGCTGGTGACTCTATGTATAGATACAGAAATGGTCTTACCCCTGTAGCGAGAATAGCTGGATCTGGTTGATTAACGGCTTCCAAGAGATCTATGAGCTTCAGTACCGAATCGTGGTATGAGTCGTATCGTTGCATATCCTGCAAGGGTTGGCATGGAATGTCGTAGGCTGCTTTAGACTTTACAATGACGCGCGTCGTCACGCTGCCATGAAAGTGGCGTTCCATTGCTTGAGACGGGAACGCAACCAGAAACGCGTATCGATCGGCTTCGGCCGCTAATGTCTTGGTACAGTATAGGAATCTCTGGAACTGAACATTGGGCGTGGTGTGGGGCAGTGGGTGGGGCATCACCCTCGACATGAACGAGTAGCTCTCTTCATTTATGCTATGCTTGGAAACAGGTCAACCTCGTTCAGAGACGAGTGTCTGCTCGTGAATGCGGAAAATGCTTTAAGATGCCTCTCCGCTTTCCCTTTAGTTTTGAACCGCTCGTCAGTGTGTACTAGTGAAAATGCTATATGTATGCTGATTGTGCGCGCGCAAAATCAATACCCATTTTCGAGTGCATGTGTCAGTAGGTCGGTCTACGGTATAGAAGGCGCTTTGTTGACGAGTACGACTTACATTGTTGAATTCCGGAGTCATTTGAGTCTCTTCCACATTGCCTACTTTTTCTTTGATTTTGAATAAGAATTTTCGACGAAAATTGAAACCTTAATAGGATTTCTATAGAAGCTTGTCTGATTCTCCTCTTTCTCTTTGTGAGAAACGAGAATGTTGTGAAATGGGAGGGGTGGTGGGGAACCGTAAACTGGCGCAGCTAGGAGGCGAGGTCGACGAGAGGTACTAATAAACAGTGAGAGAGAATATTACTTCGAAATCATGGCAAATAGGGTCTAAGAACCGAGGAATTGCTCGTTACATTGACAACTTTTGAAGATAGCTCAACTAGCGTCATAACCACACTGACTTGATTTGGAATGCTTTCGGTGCCCTCAGAATTGCCTTTTAGAGGTAGCGTAGGGCGAGAGTTTGAACTGGAACAGATGGATCTAGTTCTGTTTGGAGACCAAATGGATCAGGATTTCAACGGTGAGGCTAAAGCAACAGATCACTGACCTTTTCCATCAGCCATTATAATTTGCGGCTGACTGTTGAGAAGTACTAGGAGAGAATGAATCTCACCCGCAGATATTCCTTGAATGATATGAAGGGGTGTTCGAATAGCACCGCGTTCTTATCTTCCGAAACTGGAGAATGGGCGAGTGCGCGAATCGCGAAATGAGGAATCGCAGAAGCCCCGGAGTGGGATTCATACGTATCGATCTGGAGAATCAACGTTTCTCCGATTTTCCTGATCAATACGCATCTAATCCTTTTCACGCACTCTGAT